TGGGAAATTTCGAAGTTCATTAGACTTGAATCTGTGTGTAATTCGTGTTTTTGAAGTTGCTCGAGGTGGTTTGAGGATTCAACTAAGTTCGTATTGAGATATAAGACTTGTTGGTATGCTTGGTCGAGGTCCCGGCGGCCTCGGGTTGAATTCGGGTGGTTAACGGACTTGAAATTTAAGTTGAAGAAGCAATTGGAGTTTTGCTGCTACTGATATAACCGCACCTGCGGAGTGGGGACCGCAGGTGCGTGCCTGCAGGAGCGAATAAAGAGCCGCAGGTGCGGCTAAGACAGACCTAGGCAGGTGCCCTCAGAAGCGGCTTGAGAGGCGCAGATGGATCGTAGGTGCAGCTTGGGACCCGCATCTGCGATGGCCGCAGATGTGGTCAATTTATCGCAAGAGCGGAGTCTGGATTTTAATGAATTTCCACAGAAGAGGATCCCAGTTCGCAGATGCGGTTCCGCAGGTGCGGAACTAGGTCCGCAGGTGCAGATTGACTGGACATAACCCTTAAGTTCAAGGGTTCGTGATTGTTTCCCCATTTTTGGATTTTGGAGCACGGTTTGGGCGATTTTGGAGAGGACTTTTTCCACACAATCTGGGGTAAGTGTTCTTGACTTACTTGGGATTATATTTCATGAATTAACCTTTATTTTTGGTGTAAGATTATTGAATCTTCAAGAGAAATTGAAGGAAATTTCTCTAATTTCATAAAACGAATTTTCGAATTTTAAACATCGATTTGGAGTCGGAATTGAGTAAAATTAGCATGGATGAACTTGTAATTAGATGGGTTATCGGATTTTGTGAGTTTCATCGAATTACGAGACGTGTATTTTTGACTTAATTTCGGATTTTTATTGGAAAATTAGTATTTCCTTATGGAATTAATTACAATAATTGGTATTGATTGAATCGAATTAATTGTGTCTTGAGTCGAGCCGTTCAGAAGTTGATACGTGCAGAATCGGATTTCTGGAGCATTGTTTAGCTTGCTCGACATCGGATTCATCTTGTTCGAGGTAAGTATTAGTTTTAAATCTAATCTCGAGGGTATAAAACCCCAAATTTATGGTATTATATGATTACTTTGGAGGTGACGCACATGCTAGATGACGGGCGTGTGGGCGTGCACCGAGGAAATTGTGACTTGGTCCCTCCCGTGAAAACTGTAAAGTTGAATAACTTGTTGTTAACTATGTGCTTTCTGTGTGTTGTGGAAATGTGAGTATAAGTCATGTTAGAAATCATGTTTAGGTTATATGTTGGTACTGTTGGGACTCATAGAGGTCGTGCACATGTTGAACTGCCTGCGTAATTGTTGTTTTGTACTCGATAACTGTTTCCTTGTTTATTTTATCTCAGTCTCTATTGTTCATTATTGATGCATCATATCATTGTTGTTTGGGTTGATTTTATGATTATTGAGAGCTCGAGAGACTGATTGTGAGATGTTATCATAGCACGTGAGTTATGCGTGCAGTACGTGAGTTGTCCGTGCAGGAGATTATAGCACATGAGTTGTCCGTGCAATACATGATTTGTCCGTGCAGATCCTTATATTATACTATAGCACGTGAGTTGTCCGTGCAGCATGTGAGTTGTCCGTGCGGATCCAAATATTTATACTATGGCACGTGAGTTATCCGTGCAGCACGTGAGTTGTCCGTGCAGATTATAGCGCTTGGGCTGTAAGAGCCCCTCCGTAGTCTGNATGACGGGCGTGTGGGCGTGCACCGAGGAAATTGTGACTTGGTCCCTCCCGTGAAAACTGTAAAGTTGAATAACTTGTTGTTAACTATGTGCTTTCTGTGTGTTGTGGAAATGTGAGTATAAGTCATGTTAGAAATCATGTTTAGGTTATATGTTGGTACTGTTGGGACTCATAGAGGTCGTGCACATGTTGAACTGCCTGCGTAATTGTTGTTTTGTACTCGATAACTGTTTCCTTGTTTATTTTATCTCAGTCTCTATTGTTCATTATTGATGCATCATATCATTGTTGTTTGGGTTGATTTTATGATTATTGAGAGCTCGAGAGACTGATTGTGAGATGTTATCATAGCACGTGAGTTATGCGTGCAGTACGTGAGTTGTCCGTGCAGGAGATTATAGCACATGAGTTGTCCGTGCAATACATGATTTGTCCGTGCAGATCCTTATATTATACTATAGCACGTGAGTTGTCCGTGCAGCATGTGAGTTGTCCGTGCGGATCCAAATATTTATACTATGGCACGTGAGTTATCCGTGCAGCACGTGAGTTGTCCGTGCAGATTATAGCGCTTGGGCTGTAAGAGCCCCTCCGGAGTCTGAACACCCCCAGTGAGCGCGGGAACCCATTGAGTGTGAGTGTTGTGGGCTGAGAGCTGAGTGGTTGAGTGTTGCTCTGAGAGGCTGTACTTTCTTTCACTTGTTATTGTACTTAGTTGCTATCTGTCATTGTTGTGAAATTCTCTGAAACATTTTATATCCGGTTTTCATGAACTTGAATTGTATAAAAATTGTTTTGACTTAAACTGCTGGATTTGAAAGCATGTCTATTCTTTGCTGGAATTACTGAAAGAGAACTATAAAACGTGAAGCTCGTCACTATCTTCAGTTCCTTAGTTATTATTGTTACTTGCTAAGTTGGTTGTACTCATACTATACCCTGTATTTCATGTGCAGATCCAAGTGCTTCTAGACATAGCGGGTGTTGATTCTTTCGCATAGTTGATTTTTCGGAGATTCTGAGGTAGCTACCGTATTTCTCAGACCTTGTCTCTCCTTCCCTATCTCCTTGTTTATTGTATTTGGCCTCAGACTATTGTTGACCGTATTTTCTTTTTAGACTTGTAGTTCTATTAGATACTCATATACTTAGTGACACCAGATTTTGGGAGTGTTCGTATCAGTATTTGTGGGATTATGTATTGTGTTTAAATATTAAATTTTTAAACTTAAATTTTTTTTTTGGTTTATGGAAAAGGTCGGCTTGTCTAGTATCAAGACAGGCGCCATCACGACAGGTTGAGATTTTGGGTCGTGACACTACGCTTCTGTACATCCTTTTGTGAAGATCCAGGTACTTACTACCAGCCCAAACATCAATGAGCTACCTGTGTACGGAGACTTCGAGGTATATCTGCCAGCTTCTGCAGACTCCGGAGTCGCCTTCTATCCTTATTATGTTGCTTCCTTATTTTCTTTAGACTCCGATATATAGAGACATTGGGGATAAATTCTTAGAAGCTTTTGATTTTTTTCTACCAGATTTTGAGAGTTGTAATTATGTGAATTTGCAGATTTATTTATTTCAGATTTCTATTGTTATTCCACATTGATAGGCTTACCTAGTCTTACAGATTAGATGTCATCACGACATCCTACGGAGGGAATTTGGGGCCGTGACATTAGGTATGATAGAAGATGAAATAACTAATTCGTACTTACTTATTCATGCATAACTAATTTATGTATATATAAATAATCTCTGCATTACTAATACCTTCGTATTACTAATACCTTTCTAGCTAGCAACAAAACAACCCCTAAATATGTATATATTTTTTACACCGTTATAAACAAAATTTGAAACTTTACATTATGTAGCACCTTCGAGATGTATTCAGACTTTCTATTCAGAAGTTTCTACTACTATACTAATGGTGAAGGTCCAACCATTCTAGATAATGGAGTAATACTATTGCATTTTTAGGAGTGCATCAATCTGCTTTTTGCAACAACTTCTAGTTGGTTCTTTTCTTGCCCCTGCATGGCTTCTGATTCCACCCACAAAGAATATTATCACCATGTGTCCCGATAGAAACGGATACATGATTTGAATCTTATGAATTCAAATAATGATTTTTACATAGTCAAATATATAATTTGGACTAAAGTAATCAAGTTAGATTAAACCCGTAGTCGATACACTCGTTCCACCCATTAGTTTAGAGGATTGCAGGGTGGAGCCTTTGGATTTCAAATAAATTAAGAACGTTCGAATTTCAAGTGATTTCGTAAAATTACTACCAATCTCTTTTCAGTTCAATAATTGCACTAGTTCCATAGAATTCTCTTCTGCTGGGTAGAGTGTTTCTTTTTCTTTTTCTTTTTTTAATTATTGAAGGATTCTTCTTCTTCTTCTTTTTTTGGGGTGG